CGGACCATTTTGGAGGTAAGGCCCGTACTCGGTGGCGGATAGGTGCATCTTGATATCTTCAAGCGTTTCGCACTGGCTGAGGTTATTATAATCGGCGGCGGTCAAAAGCCCAGATCGGTGGCCGCGGACGATGGCCTCCAGGAACCCCCCATGGATGTTGAAGGTCAGGGCTTCGAATCCATACATTTTCTTTACAGATCTGGAGCGAATTGGACGAAATTAATATGAATTATCGATTCAAACCCCTTCGACAAAACTCTAACGAAATTCTTTTAGAGAGAGAAAGAGGTTAGAGGTAATGACTAAGGGGATGCATAGTTAGAGATCAATCGGTGTCTGTTATCTGGATCACAATTTCGGTTTGAGAAAATTAGAAGGGGGTCTCTAACTTTGGAAGTACAACATTTAGGTCCCCAGTAAATTCGTTTTGGCACAGAAGTGCCCAAAATTGGGTGCATATATCTATTTTGGCAGAAGTGTTATTTGGATTACATTTTTTTATTTATTTAGAGTAATGTTATTTGTGCATGATTCTATACAGATATATTGATGATATGAAATAGAGAGAAGAAAAAAACAAGCATGCTACATGTATATCATCTTTTACACTTTATTACGAGACAACACACCATTTGACAGTTTAAAAAAATAAACAATTTTCCCTCCAATCATTTTTAATAACACATCAAATGTCAAAAAGGACGGAGTATACAAAGAAAAAAAGGAAAGAAAATGAAGTTAGTTAATATAATCAACATCATCAATTTGTACATCAATCTCAACATCATGTGTAACTTTCATATATTTACATTGTATACATTCCTTCCAAAAATTGTAGCCTACAATTTTGAAATTCCAGAATTGGTTGATCTTATGCTCATTTTCCCATTATTTTATGTTACAAACAACGAAGAAAATATTAAATAATTCAAATACCAATTTATTGTGATAATAGGCAAGAAAAATAATATGACATAATATGAACTAATTGAACACAAACTCAAAAATAAAATAATTGGCAAAGAAATAGAGATTTCACTCAGAGAGCGCTAGGCGGCGGCACCCCGACGCTCGAGCTCCAGTCGAGCGTCAGGTGAGTATAATTGCATCGAAAAGTCATTCCTGGTCCATATCTTGATATTTTCAAGTCCAACACAAATAGAATTTCAATTAAAATTTGTCAAATATACTTTGAATAGGATTCCAAAAGCATTCCAACAAATAGAATTCCTCTTAATATCGATCTTAATTAGAATTACCAATTATCTTCAAAATCGAATTCAAGTTGCACTCTAATTTTAACAAACTCCACCTTAACAAGAATTCCACTGCAATGAGTAAATTTCAAAGATTCTCCACCTAAAGACAAAACTCTAATGCAAGGAATGAACTTCAATTCTTCAATAAAAAGTACAAACGAACCTTTCTATCCAAATTTCCAACTTGGAAATATTCTCTACCTCTACCACAAAACTCAAATGGGCTCAAAGTCAAAAAGTTGAGTAATATAAATCCCAAGAACACATTTAGATTCCAAAGTTGCTCAAATCACAAGCAACAAAATTAAACGTGATTAACAATCACCAAACAATGTTGAAACAAGCTTTGTAACAGAATCACCACGAGATACTTCTCAACTGAAGGCATATTCTCAAAAACTAGTCTGTTTCTAGAAATTGAATATAATGGCACAACTGGTAATGGTGGCAAAGCGAAAGCATCCGCAACTTTCAAAATTGACTTAAATGTATTTATCAAAGTAGACCCCAAACAAAACTCCGACGATATTTAAACAAACTCACAATCCACATGAGCTCCAAATTTATGTTGATTGACCAAAGGTTTTGAAGATTCTTGTAAGACATATAATTGGTATTTTTCCGTCCTTGAACACAACATGAGCACCTCTATAAAACTTCAGGACTTCATCTTCACCAATGAATTTGTACCCTTTCAAGTCAAGAGTACTTAAGGAATATTTTTCTTCAAATCGGGAACATGCCACACTGCATCAAGTGTTCTGACACTTCCATCAATCAACTTGATTCTGACCCTTCATAAATCAGCTATCTTTCAATGTATATCATTACCTGTCACAATATCACATTTGGAAACTTCTTCATATATTGTAAACAAATCTCGATTGGGACATATATGAAAAGTGTAAGCCGTATCAAAAATCCAATCTTCTTCAGATTTGGAGTCGCTATCAGAAATTACCAAAAGATCTCCATCATCGTGAAACGTTTCTCCAGCACTAGCTTCATTCGAAGTATCTAATTGCTTTCAGTTTTGATTAGATGCATTGCAGCTTATAACAATCCTTAACCAAGTGTCATTTCTTCTTAAAATAATTACAAATTTTATTTATGAAGTTAAACAGTAATTTGTCCCTTTCAGAACCACCATCAATAATAAGACCATCTCTATGAGCCTCATTTCGAACGAGATGCTTCACTTTTTCATTTGAGTAAAGATCATAATAAAATATCCTTAATGGTGAGAGTATCACGACTATATAGGATCGTGTCTCTAAACGACATATATGAAGTGGACAACGAATACAACAAAATAAAACCCAAATCTTGTTCATCATAGTTAACTTCCAAGGTTTTAAGATCAGTAACATTTCCTTAAACACAGCTACGTTGAGAATAAATGGTTGCTTCAAGTGCAATTTGCTAGTAAGACTCTTAGTCATGTACAATTGCTCCAATTTTAACCATAACGAAGTGGTGGAATTTTCCTTTAAGATGTCTTGAAGAATGTTATTCAAAAAATGAATATGAATTTGTGATTAGGCCTTTCGATCTCATACATTATTTCTCCTCATAATTCCAAATTGTGGGCATCTTGTCAAATCCCAACAACGTATCGTCCATATCCATCTGAACGAGTATTGGCCGCATCTTTACTTACCACAACGAAAATATATTGTTGCGATCTAAAAGTGGAATATCATACTTCATGGTTTCCATCCCAAAAAAAAAAAAAAATCTCCCTATGAGTTAAATCTAATCTCTGATACCAATTTGTTATAAACAAATAAGAAAATATCGGATAATTTCAATACCAATTTGTTGTGATAATAGGTGAGAAAAATAATATGATACAATATGAGGTAATTGATTATAAACACGAGAATAAAATAATTAGTAGATTAATTGAGATTTCACTAAAATATGAAGAATTAATGCAATGATTTTGTATTTGTAATTTGTCTAACTTATTCTTAATTACAATAAAGAGTTGAATATATATAGGAGACGTTTCAAGCCCTAAAAGTAGAGTTATAGATGGAAAGGAATGCTCAAAATGTGTAAAATGCAAAAAAGGGTCTGAACAGTATAAATATGGCGCTCGAGCGCTAAGCGGGTGCCGCCCTGATGCTCGAGCGTCTAGCTAGCGCTAGCAGGCGCCAACTTTACTATTCTCATGATAAGGCTTAACAAACTACGATGCCTACAAACAACATGACTTAAGGCCATTTTTTGATTGTAGATGAGCTCCTATTATAGCGTATCTATAACTTTACGATTGTAACAAATTCACGGAATGTAATTTGTTCTGTATCCCTACTTTCTCCCTTCCCCAAATGCCCATTTTTAACATGTCTAGTAAGTAGGCTTGTGAACACGAGTGAAAAGTATTAAAAAAGAAAGATGCTAAAATCTTGATTATGGTAATACTAGAACAATAATTTTTGATGGAACAGTTGATGGCGTGCATGTGCCTGAGGAGGATGAGAGTTACGCATGGCTGCAAGAGAGGAAGAATCCTAAGGACTTAGTTTTACTCGGAGCTCCATACAACAGACCAAAGATAATAGAACTGTGATCTCAACAGCAGAAGTTATTTTCATTGAGATGTGAACAACTGTTGCACCGGAGTAGGTCAACTTTTTGCTTGTTTCTTTCCCTTATATTTTTCTTTTTGTTTATGCCATAGAGTGGTATTTCTATGCTCTCTGAGGTTGTTTTATGTACATACTCTACCAAAACTAAAGAAACTGAATGAGTGTTCGATATGCATATGGAGAAGAAAATTTTGAAAATGCATTGAGAAAATATGTGAAATGAGGTTTATTTTCAATCTTAGTTTATTCTTTAATTTTTGAGTTCAAGGACAATACCCATTGGACTTAGTTGTGGATCCATGAATATTGGTGAGTTAGGGCGGTCGTTGACTATTGGTCGTCGACCGTCAATGCGGTAACAGAGAGATAATTTATTAATTACTTAATTAAGTAATATTAAAAAATTCTGCAACCAATATATAAATGCATTAAAACGTTAAAATCTTTATCCATTACAACTCAAATTTATAAGAAAAAAATACATGAAACAACCTTACCCCGTAACTGTAAGCTCACACAACTTCATTTTTCGAGTTCTCATATCTTGAAAACGTTGTAAGATAGCCTCATTCTAGTATCGCTTGGTCATGCCAAACTCATTTCTTGGAACCTACCGCTGTCACCAAAAAGTTTTCCAATATTAAGCTTCATAAAAAATCTCAGAATGATAACTGACTCAAACAACATCTACACGCTTACATGATACACCCACCAAATTTACAATAATAGTAAATGTTGAAAACGAAGATGATACCAAGAGAAACATGATAACTGACTCAAACAACATCTACACGCTTACATGATACACCCACCAAATGTTGAAAACGAAGATGATACCGGCACGCTACAGAGACACAAAGAGAAACATCTAAATGAAACGGAACATTTGGATTCTAGACAAACTCAGATTACTAGTTTTACTAATACTAGTGGATCAGTTACTTTTAATCAGGAACGAATGCGAGTAACGAATGCGAGTTGGGA